TGGGAGTTGAAGTCCACTCATCTTAAAGTGGCCAAGTTTGGACAACACTGTGTTAGAGGTATCGTTGCAGGATGGAAGCTGTTCCAAGGAAAACTGCCTTTTGCAATGGTGATTATAACAATAATAATTTTCATCATCATCATCATCATCAGAATCCTATTTAAAGCAAGCCTTTGGGCCTCACCCTGAGGGCAGGTCCCTGTCTTGCCTGGGGAAAATCCCAGATTCGGCCAGCTCCATCCTACTGAGCCGGTGGACCCATCCAGCGTCCGCCCTTCTCTCCACTCCGGGGCCGGGTGGGCCAGCTCACAGGAGCAGCCAAGCAACCTCCTCAAGGGGAACCGGACGCCCTCATCTTGCTCCACTGGCACGGCCATCCCGTGGTGGGCTTGCAAGAGAAGCCATTGTTGACCTCCTTCCAGAGAGCAGGGCTTGGAGGGGCCGGCAGCACCAGCAGAGGCATGCAATTCCTTGACTCTTTGCTCCCTCTGAGCGGAGCATCCCCACTGAACTCCCAGCCTGTTCGGGCAGAAAGGCCACCTTCACGCAACACTTAACCCGGCCAGAGAAAGACCTGGCTCAATTTTAACCATGGCTAGGAGCCATGGCATCTTGCATCCGGTGCAAACTCAGCCCGTGGGGGTCACTTTAAAATCCAGTGTATTGCATCAAGCCAGAACGTAGGTGAACTCAGTGGAGGGGTTGTGTTGCACCAACACGGCAGTGTGCAAAGAACGGGCTTGTGGGATTGTGGGAGACGGACTCCTCGCCTCCCCCCAACTTTATCCTCACCACCCCCACCAAGCAGGTCTCAGGATCCGTCCCAAACCTCGGGGGCCGACCATACCTTTGAACCTGCCCGGGGCAGCATCATTCACCGTTTGCTGCTAAGTCCCGGAAAGGCTCACGTCTTTGGCGGGGAGGCTGGGGGGCGCGGAGGGGAGCAGCAGGAGGGGCGGGGGCCGGAATTGGCTGGAGCGTTTCTGAGGCTCTGCTGGCTTCATCCGCAGGCACGTCTTCATCAACATCGCCCTGCTCCACTGCATCACCCTGATCCTCTTCTTCGACATCTACCACGACCTGCCCAGCAGCGAGCCCGCGATGGAGTTCTGGCCCAGCAATACCTTCCCCATCACGCTGCCCTACGTCACCGTCCGGAAGCCCCTCAAGTGGTGCTAGCGGGGCGGCGAGGAGGAGGGCAGCTGGGGGGCTGGCGACAGGGGCCACCCCCACTGGGTTCCCCCGCACCGAGACCTGCAGCTATTTATGGGGGCCTCTGGGGCCGGGCTCAGGGAGGGTGGCTGGGCCGTGCGCAGCCCCCAGTCGCCCCTGGCACGTTGCACCTGCTTACCGGCCTGCCTCTAAATCAGCAGCTGCGCCTGCAGATGCAAAAGACAAATCAAAGCCCAGAAATTCACCTTAAACCCGTTTTTTTCCCCCTCCTGAAAGCTATTTTTCTCCCCAAAAGCAGCTGAAAAGCATTTTGAGACCTTCAAATGGTGGCAAAGCTGGAAGCCGGCTGCAACAGGCTGGAGTGAGCGGGCAGGGCCAGCCGGGAGCAGGTCTGGCGAGGGCCCAATGCCTCGGGCATCCTCGTCTCGCCTCCGCTGGAAGCCGTCCAGCTCAAGGTACGGTCTAAAAAGTCAAGACGGCGGCCACAACGGGGTGATCGAAACTCGGCCTGTTTCTTAGGTGCACCGCAGGCACCATCTTGACTTTTTTGACTCCATCCCGCAGACGCCCCCATTGGGCGCGCTGTCTCAGTCGGGCCAGACTGAGAAAGCTTTTTCTAACCTTTAATCAGAATCTGCCTTCCTGTAACTTAAACCCACAACTCCAAGTTCTTCCCTCTGGAACGAGAAGAAAAGCAAGGACTCGATCTTCTTGGCGCGATTGTCGCACGCATTCTGCGGGATCCTTTCAGAGGGCTGCCAACCTTGCCCGCTTCTCTTGGCTGAGCCCGCCCAGCTCCTCCCGTCTCTCTTTCTCTAGGACTTTGTGTCTGATGGCCCGGCCGCCCTCCTCGTCCTGCTCTGAATGTGCCCCAATTTCTTTGAATTGTTCTTATCTGGACTCAGAATGGATGTAGGGACTTTGGGGCGGGGCAGGGCGGGGGGCAGAATCTGACCAATGCACAATAAAATGGAACTACTATTTCCTCTGATTTAGGCATTATCGTTCTGTTGAAGCTGCCGCGAATTGCACCTGTCTTTTTTGCAGCCAGATGCTGCTGCTGGCTCATACTGCGTTTGCAGTCAGCTGTTTCTCCAAGACCTTTTTCATGCAGGCTGTTACCAAACTGGGTATCTCCTCTATGGCGTGCAATTGATTTGCTTTCTCTTTTGTAGGAGGGAGGCAGGGAGGCAGGGAGGCAGGGAGGCAGGGAGGCAGGGAGGCAGG